TGGTAGGTAGGATGTCGTGCAATCCGACCAAGCACCATCATCGTTTTAGTTGCCTTACATCGTCGTAGAGCCGAAGACGGCGTTCGAACCCGTGTTCGAAGCTTATGCCGTGCGGGTTGCCAGAGACTAACTCGCACGCCACCGTTTCGAGTATTGCGAGCCGATGCCTCCACCACTGATTAATTCAGCGCCAGAAATAATTTAGTTGCACTCAATTTCGGAACCTATTACACTACTTTTTCTGGGGCCCGTCCATCGCCGGTCTTCGACGCGGGGCGAGGAATAGTGACAGGACTCGAGACAGAATGTTCGAAACAAGAAACTCAAATGTACTCCTCTTCCTCCATCGCGATGATGGATTCTCTCTGGCCGTCTTCGGCCTCCTCGCCCGCGGCCGCCTCCTCCTCCACGTCGAGTTCGGGCGGACCGCCTCGAAGGCGGTACGCGCTCCCCAGGGCAGCCAAGGCTGCTACTCCTCCCGCTGCGGCGGATGCGGCAATGACAACATTCTTCTTCTTGTGATCCTCGGCACCAGTGGTGCCGTCAGTAGTTGCAGTGGTGCCGTCAGTTGTGCCGCCAGTTGTACCGCCAGTTGTGCTGCCAGTTGTGCCGCCATTGGTGCTGCCAGTTGTGCCGCCAGTGGTATCGCCAGTCGTACCAGTGGTAGCAGTCGTAGTCGTTTCGGTGGTAGGCGTGGGACCGGCTGTGGTGGAGGTGCTGACTACGATGCAGCTGACGGCGTTAATGCTGTCGAGGACGGCCTGGGCAATGGAGTCGACGCTGTTCTCCACTGGGTAGACGCCGAACTCTCCGTCGGTCTGCGAGAGGCCGAGCTGTTCCGAGTACAAGGTTCGCCACCAATCGGGTTCGCCGGCGGCGAGGGTAATAGGAACTAGTTTGTACTTGGAAATGGCCGCCTTCAACTGGTCAATCGTCGGGTACCACACATCTATTTCGCAGTTCACACTCTCCTCTGGGTTCGGGTTTTCTTTTGCAGTATGCGACTCTAAGGCGAAGTTCTGGCCGTCCCCAAGCGGCTGGTCGTGGTATTTGCCCCGATCGTCAGTGATAATAACAAAGAAGCGGATTTGTTCCCCCTCCAAACTGTCGAAGTGCTGCTTGCCAATGTACGGAATCGCAGATAAGGAGTCCTCAGGCGCGTCGCCACCCCCGCCGAAGGTTTGCCCATTCATGATTTCCGCAAACTCAGACACTTTACTGGTGTACGAACCACCGAACGTCACGCCTTGGTTGAAACACCCGCCCGCGTCCTCGCACTTTCGGTCACGGAACAACGAACCGCCAAAATCAAAATCGTCCAACTTCTCATTCAAAGCGTCCAGCAACTTCTGCACATACGTCTGCGGGTCACTTACAAGATTCTTGTAGGAGTTCGTGGCGTCTTGATGCAGCCACAACCGAACTGGAAGCTTCAAACAGTCTTCTTCCACCGCCCAGGCCGACAAGAACAGACCCGTAAAACCGAGTTTCATTAAGCACGCAGTCCGCCCCACACCGCATCATCAGACGCCATCCTATTGTCGTAATGCCATCCTATTGTCGTAATGCCATGCTATTGTGTAATGCCACCCTATCGTGTAATGCCATCCTATCGTGTAATGCCACCCAGTTGCCCACCATCATCGTCCAAGACCAGCAAAGTAAGGTTAGCTGTTAAAAAGCGGATCACCGCCCTGAAAGAAGAAATCTGGTTGCTGCGTAGAACTTTACCTTTCGGGCGAAAATATTCGCAGGCTCCTCCTTAGTCTTACTGAACAAGGTGAAGGTAGGCAGCGATGACTGAGGTGCAGGAGGGGCAACAGGAGGTGCGTGATTCAGCGTCAGCGGGGCATTCACTGCCACCGGAACTTGCGATGACACCGGCTGCTCTTTTCCAGCCGACTTAAGTTCCCAGTCATACTGGTCATCCAAAGTCGGGTCGTAAGCCGCCATGAAGGCCGTGATTGAAGGGTCCCTGCAAGCAATGTGATTCTGATGCG